TTCCAAAAGGTTAAGAGGATAGGTCAGAGTGTGGTGAAGTGGCTTGATGTTGTGGTCCAAGGAACTCATTCCAAGAGGATTAGACAGCTTGCTGCATTCAGTTCACAACCTTAACTAGCTTTTACATATTTGCAAAACATTTTTTTTTCTCTGACACTCAAGCAATAAAATATTGGGAAAGCCTTTGCTTTGGAAACTACTTGGATTGCAGCTCCTTTAAGTACTGCACTTGATCTTTTCCATGACATTCCTTCGTTTCCTAAAAAAGCTGAACTACAGTCATACACAGCAACCCATTTTCTTCATACACCATCCACAAAGAGAAGTAACTTCTCTTCCTCCCTCTGGTGGCAAACCCAGGGCTTTTTCTGTCACTGATGGATCACTGGGGCAACAATGAATTTATCACCCATCTCTCCAATTTCCTTTTCCCACACCCATGAGTGGGCACAAGTGACACTATAAAAGTGAAGCTGGACACATGTCAGAGGTCTTGAATAGTTTCTGATGAATTGGTGGTAGATGGCCAGTAAAAGATTTGTTTTGTAGCTTTTATAAAAACCATCCCCTTGTAGCAGCTGGTGTGTGATTCATGCATAGAGCCCACCAAAGGAAGTATTTAAAAGTAGAAACAGCCATACAGAAAGGTACCAAACTATCTGATACATGTTCAGCTTCAGAAAATGGAATTAAATGGCATTAAAATGGAAGGACATTCACGTGATGTCACGGCAAGTTGCATTTTATCGTTTGCTTATAAAATTGTAATTTCTTATTTTAGTTATTTCTAATTCCTCCTAAATAGGCAGAAAACTCTACCCACCTGACTATCATACCAACCCCTTACCTTCTCACCCAGCTTTCTGAGGGCAGTCAGGATTTCCAGTTTCTGTTGGGTGTACAGGTCTCGTGGCAACTTCCCAACCATTAAGTCTCTGTCCATCTGCACACCAGGGGAGAAAAAGTCAAAATATGTAAGCTTCCATTATTTCACCCAACACAACAGCATGAAAAATGCAACAGCCTAAAAATATCATCAGTAGCAATGGACCCACATCATCTGGATCTTCAATTTAGATCTCTGAAACATTGAGTGCACTCTCCAGCCCTCAGAACAAGCACAGACTTTCTATTTGCAGCTTCCTCAGTTCACTCTATTAATCCCATTTTTGCTTTGAAGCAGGAAGATAGAAGATAACTCAAGAAATACACATGGTTGCCCCCATTACCTCAATAAACATTTAAGACTGAACAAATACTGAAAGAGAACTTATCCATTTCTTTTGGACTTTCTGACCAAGATTTCCAGCACACTCAGTGCTTTCCTTGCAATCATCACACACTTGAATCAGACTGCCTCAAATGAACAGCTTTTGCAGTAAAACAGAAGCCTTCACCTCTGCCAGTCTTGTCCTCAATTGCCTCGGCTGCTTCTTTGCAAACATCCTAATCACTTCTGGAGTTTTAAATGCTTGGCTGATGGCTGCTTGTATTGCCTGCAAGGAGAAGAGCAAGAATGCGATTCCTGTTAGCCCTGGTCAAACTACAGCAGCAGGACAAGATTAATGAGGGCTGGAAAGCATCATTAGTATCTTCTGCATCATGTGGTATACAGAACTCATCTTTTTTTCCATAACCATGGAAGTGAAATTTTTTTTAAAAACTACCTTTATGGAGGGCTTAAAGAATCCTCTAATTAATGTAACTAGACTGAGAAAGAGTTGTGAAGCTTTCATTACTTAAAGTCCAGGTCTTAATCTCCTACAATGTTAAGGCTGTAATTCATCAATGGTTTTTTTTTCCCTTTTCAAATGAAGACACCTATCCAAGTTTTTTACATATACAAGTGTACTAAATTAGGAAATACATTAGTTACATAGATCTATATTTCACATAAAAATTCCAGTGAATCACTTGTATCTATTTGCTATTTCATCAACTCCAAGCAGAACATGAAGTTTTTTAGCAACACATCATCCTTACCAGTTGCATGCCACTGAGCTCATCCACCAAAGTCATATCTCCAGACATAATCTTCTTCAGGGAGTCATTGAACTCACTCAGCTGCTCAAGAGTTTCTTTTTTGGTCTCCTCATACTCATCTGCATCCAGCTCCTCTCTAGGGAGGACCCAAGAAGACACACTGAATCACAGGATCCAGCCTGGGACACCCATGGGGCACGGGGCACTGGGCCATGGCACGGAGCTTGGTTCTCCAGCTGCACTGAGGAGTTCCCATCCCTGCAGCCTGCTCTGCTCTGCTCCCATCCCACAGAAAAACTATGATTTTTGTGAACAGCTGTTTAAAGTTTAAAAGTCACACTGAAATATAACATTTCAAAGAAAATACAGAGTATTTCTGCTAGCATTTTTCCTAGATATATAAAGCAATCGTGATAAAGGTTTCTAAAAATAACTTTTACTGACACCAATATCCTACTTAATTTAAAAACAGAAAGCCACAGCAAAACACAAAAAAAAATAAGCTTCCTCCTAAGATTTTTGAAAGGTACCACTTTCTTCTGCCAACCACTTAAGAAAAATACGACCATATAAGAGGAAAGCAACTATTTATATTACCTGCACTCTTCCAGATCTTGAAGTTGTTGCATTAATCTGTCCAACTGCTCCTCCAAGTTTTGTTTTAGTTTACTGGTCTCTGTTGTTCCTCTTGAAGCCATTTTCTGTTTTCACAGGAAAATGCTGTTTTTACATGACACTCCTAAGAGAAAGTACATTTTATTGTTTGTATCAACAACTTAAAACCTATTTAAAACACTCTAAATATTAAAATTATGCAATATCTTTCTGACGGAATGTTTAATCACAACACCCGGAGATCCTTGCAGTGGAAATACAGAAATGCCAGGCAGCGTGCACAGAATTATCTCCACAGCAAGAGGCGGTTCAGAGGGCACTCCAACAGCCACAGCACACACAATCAAGCAGCAGTTACTGAAATACAGAGGCCCCGCTATATGACACAATAGATTCGACTCCTCAACAGCCCCTCGGCCCGCTGTTCAGGAGACAGCCCGGGTGCGGGTGTGCGGGG